GCCGAATAATTTTGAAACCTAGTGACCGCTACACTGGAATTCAAGTTTTACAGACTGCGCACTGTGTACATTCTGTTTAAGGAAAAGTACGTTTTTGCCTACAGTTTGAGGAAGATCTCACATAGTTCTCATAAAATGTAGCGATAGATGTTGAGCCTAATTTGTACAATAAAGGCAGCATTAACAAATGACGGATACGGTGTTCTCTGAATGACCACCTGAAAATTGTAAAAAAGCTCATAATTAGAAATTTTTTAAAACCGCAAGATGCCCTTCCTTCAAGTATAAAAATTAAAGAAGGCATAATTTTCTATCAAAAGAGTACAAGAAGTATTATTTCGCGCATGTTTTCCAAAAAATATATTTGAATATATAAAGGCAGTCCAAATTAATGATAAAAAGGTATACTACTTAAGTAGTCACTTTTTACAGTACATGCTTTGTCCTGACGGTCAGAAAGAAGCTTGTTGTAAAGCAAGCATCCTGGAGTGTCGAAAATATGTTGAGATTAGGCTGTACGATTGCCTTTATTACAACCATCCGCAATTAATATGTTCCAATTGAAAACTCATTTCAGAATTCCGGGTGCCATTTCATGAGATATTGAATCTACTGTACTTAAGCCTTCCCTTGGCTAGCTTGGGATTAGAATACCACCGACGCCGCCGAGTTTTCCACAACTAAGGCAACTGGAGTGCATGCAGTCACTTCTAGATAATTTTACAAATGAGACAGTCCCTTTGGAACCTTACTTTTTTAAACTGATTTGCCTTGAGGAGATAAATTAGCTTCCTGCCCTAGGCTCGCTTTTGTTGCTCAAGTAGGTTACCCAAGTATTGTAGCCGTTTGCACTAATGAGTATACTACTTTCGTAGCAGGTCGTATTACTCTCTAGGAGCCCTCACACGATAAAAAAACTTTACAATTCTCAACCAATTTATAAAGATCGCTTAGTCATATCAGATATGCTTTATGAGGGAACTATGAGTAACTCGGCCTGAAAACAAAATATCGTGATAGATAGGCCTGTAGATAATGTAAGCAAATTGGGTTTTCTTCGCTACTAAAAAGGCGAAATATTTTGCTCATTTTAAATGTAACAAAAAATGCTCCCACAATCTTTAAAACTGCATTGAAGTCTCTAACAGCTAACTCACTATCCCCTTTTAGTAACGTAGAGTACAGTTTCGATCCACCAATCAGCTTTCAGTTAAGTTGCTAAGACTGGGCCTATCAAATCTGCTGCTAATTTTCCTGCTAACTTTAACGGGTGTGTTAAAGATCTCAACGGACTAACCGTTTAATATCCGCGGCATTTAAACTAGGGCCATGTAGGAGGTATGTTTTAAAAGGGGAATTTATAATCCCAACGTATGCTGAGGACATTTAAATCACATTCCCTGTACAGTGGGGTGTGAATATGTGCGGTTAGAAGACGTTGGAGCACACGCCATATGTTCCATTTACGACTCGTATCGAGATATCAATAACAGCCTTAATATTAATAATAAAAGATCTCTAACGCAGTTCAATCAAAAGGCTACAATTGTTTAGGACCTGGGATATTAAAATATAAAAAAACGATTTTTGAGGCTTAAAAAACACTCTAATGTGTATAATATTTTATGCGCATGCACTTAAACAATTTGCATTAAAAATACGTTTTGACAACTAATTTGTACTTGCAATTGACCACACACAGTAAATCACTATTGCTCTTCTACTACTATAAGTAGTAATAATGTCTATGAGGGCTG